TGTATTTATAAGTGTTTGTGTGTGTGTGTGTGTGTGTGTGCAGACACTCACCGAAATGAAAGAAATCCTCCACACTCTCGTCTTCCTCTTTGACTTTGACTCCCAGCGGGCGGCCGCAGCGCTCAAACGGGCCTGAGGGCAGAAACTTCGCGCTAGAGGAGAGAGACTGGGGCAGTTTAGTGTTTGTCGACAGAGCCTGCGGCAGTTTGTTCCCGAAGTCCTAAAACAGAGTGAATAACATCACACACACCGCGGCCGCTGACAGCACAACAAACCACTAACTAACAAGAGAGAGAGCCGCTGAATGCGAACAAACCTTCCGCAGATTAAACTCATTCAAACAGCGCATTCAACAGCTTAAAGCGCCTTCATCCCCGTTTATCGAGCAGCGTGAACTATTACAACCACGGAACACTCACCAGATCCATCCTACTCGGCCATTTGTGTAAATTATCAGCGAAATTCATCGGTGAGCAGAACAAGCAGAAATTTAATATTCACCGGAACTCGTTCCTGTTTCTGACGAGCACAACAAACAGCAGCGCCACCTGCTGCAGCGGAGGAAACACACACACACACACACACACTCACACAGACACACTCTCTCTCTCTCTCTCACACGCACACACAAACACTCTCTCTCTCTCTCTCACACGCACACACACACACTCTCTCTCTCACACACACACACACACACACACACACACTCTCTCTCTCTCACACCACAACACACACATACATTATATAACACACTCACACACACACACACACGCTGTCCTCGACTGTCCAAAACACACAGATTTCCCAAAACTGAACACATCAGTTCGACAGTAAGTTACAGTAAGTGTGTGTGTGTTGATGATTGGATGTGATTTAGTGACAGAGTGAGTGACATGTAGTTCATTATAAGTTTGTTTATTTAGATGCTGTCACAAAAAGGTAACATGTAAACGTTTGTCCTCTTGATTCACACTACTTGATTCCATGCTTTTCTTGATAGCAAGTTCACTTCCTCCAAACGAAAAGTGTTCCTCCTACACTGGAAAAAAAAAAGATTTATCTACACTACAACCATACATTCGTGTCTCAAAATCATCTTATTCTTCCATAACATGACAAACGTTCATCACACACGTCAAAAACACTCAATAATTTATTACACAATCACCTTCAAAATATTAAATTATGGCAGCTTCACAAGATCATGTGTTTTTTGCAGAAGAACGACTTCAATATCATTAGGTCCTGAGCACCGATGGAATTGCTCGGTTTCTTTTCTTCTCCAAAATAAATAGCATTTTTGAGGGCCTAAACATGCTCGAAAACTTTGCACACGTGCCAGAAGTGGCAAAAATGTACATCTGAAATGGGTTTCAGAAGTGGGTGTGGCAAAAAGGCTCAATAGCGCCACCTATACGTCAAGTCAAGTCACCGTTAGTTATATAGCGCTTTTTACAATGCAGATTGTGTCAAAGCAGCTTTACATTATTAAAAAGAGAAATAGTGTGTGGAAATAGTATTTCTAGTATTCTCCTCTGGGCCTGGCCAGACGAAACCAGCAGTTCAGTTCCAGGCTGCAGCAAAGTCACATTGTGCAGAGGACTCATCTGGTTCCTGTGGTCTTGTCCTGGTGACCGTCTGAGACAAGGTCTTCACTGGGGATCTGTCTCTGGGGCTCATCTAGTTGTCCTGGTCTCCGCTGACTTTCAGGGCTGTAGAGGTCGTCTCTAGGTGCTGATCCACCATCTGGTCTGGATACGTACTGGATTCAGGTGACTGCAGTGACCATCTGATCTGGATACAGACTGGATCTGGTGGCTACGGTGACCTCGGAATAAGAGAGAAACAGACTAATATTAGTGTAGATGCCATTCTAACGATGTGACAAGTATACTGTATATATATCTATGAAATTTCAATGAAGTGCCCCTTGAGCTATGTTTCACATACATGTATGAAATTCGGTACACACATGTAACACACCAGTACCTACAAAAAAGTATCCCGGTACAAAGTCTGAAACCCAACAGGAAGTCTGTTATTTTTACTTTTCTTGACAGGTTTTGTGATGTTTTTGCCATTTTCAGGCACTGTATTTAAACGAACTCTTCCTAGAGATTTAAACAGATCATCACCAAATTTGGTCAGTGTAATCTAAAGCCCTTTGTGACGTTAAATTGCGAAGATCTTGAGTTTTCGTTGGAGGGCGTGTCTGTGGCGGCATGACAAACTTCGATGTTTCACCATGGGAATAGGAAGTTGTTATAATTTCACACGTTCAATAAGAGTCCTGGCCTGAACATATCTAAAGGCCAATATTCATTTATAACCATAGCGCCACCAGCTGGCAGCAGGAAGTTGGGCACATATAAATGACTTGGACATATTCCTTCTATATTTACAACTTGTCTGGTTCCGTTTTAATGTTTTTTTTTATCAGCATGAAAAGAAATTGTGCATTTGTATTAGCAAAGGATTTTCAGTGCATACAAATAAATTACTGAAAGAAAATATTAAAACAACATAGAGTAAAACGAGGTTTTCCCTTCTCATTCAAGTTTGAACTGTCATCATCTGTCTGAAACACTGTTATAATGTGAGCTCTCATGTGTGATGCACAGTAAGGATAGATCAACATATTTTGTCCTATATTTACCCATCAGCTGGGCTACAACCCACACAAACTGGGCAGCATTTTCAGTGTTTCCCTGCAGCTCCATGCACACGCTTGTAAACTGAACTGATGGATGGAGGGATGGATGTTGGCTGCAGTGACGGACGGTGGGCCGATGCATATCTCCCTGATAGCACACGCACATCACAGAGACGTCTATTTGACATCTGCATTTACATCTACGTCTAAAGGACATTCAGATGTCAAATAGATGTCTTTAAGATGTTTATGATTTAGAATGTATGTAAAGCTGACATCTTACAGACAGTCAGATGTTTGTACACAGCAGATGCTTTCCAGATCAAGTGATCTTTAACAGACATCTTGCAGACGTACGTGTCTCTACTGATCTGATACAATTATAAGTGCATTAAAATTATAAGCTACACAGTATATACAATGTGTCAGTATAGCTCTCTTATACTACAGAATGAAAAATATTAATTACATCTTAGATATATATTGTTGAAATGTATTTGTTTTGTAGACAGATAAAGTGTTTATTCTGGTCAAAATAAACACAAGTTGTTACAATAACCAACACACTGAAAGAAAAACATCAAGAGACAAAATACAATGTATATATAAAATGTATATTTGATCATCTAGAAAAGCAGTCTCGTCTGGATCTCCGTGTCCGCCGCGGCGCTCCGTACACGAGCACAGACCGAATGAACGGAATCAGCGGCTGTCTGCGGCGCTGCTCGGTAATCAACCGCACCGTGGCTCCGTCGTCGGCTCGAGCTCGTTTATTATATTGAGGGTAAGTCTGATTAAATACGCAAGGAATTATTATCGTGTCGATGTCTGCAGTGTGAGCTCCAGCACAGCATCAGGCAGTCTGGCGCTGCGTGCGTCATGTTTCTATCGCGCTGCGTCGCTGATCCGACGCGAGCTCCGAGGCGGCGGACGATCACTGCAGCGGCTCGAGCTGGACGGCATTTTATTCTCCTGTCAAATGTGCATGCTCGGCTTATTTTCCCAAAACGAGCCGCTGTTTGATGTTTCCAGGGGCAGGAACGAGTTGATCGGCTCGGCAGAATCATCTGACACTAATAAAGCCTTCTTCCTTCTGCCTCATCATTATTAGCATCATCATCATCATCATCATCATCATGTACCACAGAAGACTTGGACAATACAGTCCATTTACAAATGAAGCTTCTTAGGCCTGGAACAGTAATGGAAACTAATGCAATCTCAAAATGGGAATTTGCATAGTGAATTTTTCTTGTGTAAAATGGATGAATTTTTTTTTTTAATAAAATTATGATATGGAAAAAATATAATTAACTGGTCAAAGCTGCATGAACTGCTATCAAGGTGTGATGTTTCCTGCCAGTCGCTGATATTATTTGTATGAATCTGTATTTATTCTCTGTAATTCACTTCTTCAACTAGATGATGTTATGAAGCATCATTGATCCCAGAGGGAGCCATTTAGATTCAAAACTGCAGCATTGTTTGAAGAGAAAAAAGTCCCTTAAGAAAAGTCATGTAAATAAATTGTGCTTATATAGAGAGAGAGCGAAAGCAGACGTTATTATATGGTGATAGTTTATAAAGTCAGATTTTAATGGGCATAAACGTTCTGTCCTAAACTTCGAATGCAGGCTGAGTCTGTGGCATGTCCACCCCCGAGCCCCCGTTAGGAGGCACGCCCTGCCCGGGGCCCTCGCCTGGTCCGGGCCCGTCTCCAGGGGCCATGCTGGGGTCCGGACTGTCCCCTGGATCCTCACACAACATGATGGGCCCCAGTCCCGGACCAGCCACTTCCACAGGACTCTCCTTTCCTCCGCAAGCGTCTGCGGGATACAGCCAGGAGAGTCTGCACCAGATGCACAAGGTGGAGGTCTAAACCAGCCTCAAAGCCCAGTAGCAGAGGTCATATCTCTATTAATGTCTTTCTTTGTCCTAAAGCCGGTGGAGGAGAACCTTTCAGAAGACGCTCGCTTCACTCAGATGAAGGTGGTTCCGATGAGGATGACCCGTCCAGGGAGCCCGATGGACCAGCACTCGCAAGGTAACGCACCTCATGCTCCTCACCAGCAGCAGACTAATGAAACCACATTTATTTATCTTATATGCACTAAGCTACTGAGCTATGCTTTGATGCAACCTCCCAACTTTTCTCCTTTTTATCAAAATGTGCTTTTTACCTTGGACTGTGTCATATAATTGTAACTTTATATTTAACAGCAATGAAGATGTTTTTAACATTACAAAACACGTTCTCGTGTTAGCAGACAGATTACACTTTCACATGTGACCAACAATTCCTCAACAAATATAAAATATCATAATGAAATATCAAAATATTCATGTGACGGTGGTGACGAAATGATGAATTTGCAGTTATTTTAACTATCTAATGCATTGAATCAATCAATTACTGTATTAAAACAAAAACAACAGTGAGAATGTTGTTGTTTATAAAGCTTTTATTCAAGATTCACATTTAAGCATTTTAGTATATCATTGGAACACAAATGATCTATTTTCTCTCATCTCAGAACAGTATGTCTTGTATACGTTTTAAAAACTGTTAAATTAACAAATAAAACAATTAGTTGTTACCTCTATCCATTTACATTCACCAGGATCTTAATATTCACATTTAAACATCTTAACAAATGATCCAAAAATGATCAGAATACAAACAAACTGTATTTTGTATAGATAATAGATATGTAGTGGTATGTGTTCCCTCAAGCCTAGCTCTGCTAGAAGTGATGACTGTCAATCCACAAAACACAAAAGTGCTGTATATTTAGTATTTATACATTATTAGAAAAACGAAACGTCCCAACCGAGACGATGTGTTACTGCAGTGTGTCTCCTCCTGCAGGATTCCCGTCTCCGCTGGGCTCTTCAGAGCTCGTGTCCAGTCCCGTGTCCGGTCCTCTCCTGTCCACCTCCGGCTCTAGCTCTGCCTCGCTGGACGGTGTGGACAGCCAGAGCCTCCCGCAGCAGAACCGTCTGGGAAGCCAAAGCACGGCCCCAGGCCCCAGCGGCCCCAGCGCTCCGACGCCCTTCAACCAGAGCCAGCTGCACCAGCTGCGGGCGCAGATCATGGCATATATGGCATATAAGCGCGGGCAGCCGCTCCCAGAACACCTGCAGATGGCGGTGCAGGGCAAGCGGCCCATGCCAGGGATGCCCCAGGGACCGTCTCTGACCAGCCTGCCCCCCGGCGGAGCGAGCGCCGGCTTCAGCCGAGGACATGGTGAGCACATCTGACTCTCCTAACACACACACACCTGAATCACTGATGATGGGACTCTTTATCTGATCACGAGGTACGTACTGTAATGCTTCACTGGTTACGGAGCGCAGGGTTGGGCAAAATTCTGAATTTAGTTATTTGATTTCATTTTAATTGAATTAAGTTGGTCCCCGTAGGAGGTTGAACTGAAATGACAGGAAGATGAACTGACTGAGAAATGCCATTAATCCAATGTAAATTCTGTGACATTGTTTAATAGTGACATCATTCATTGTCTATTAGTGGCTTTTCAAGTATTGATTATTAAAATCATTATTAAAGGAGTGGTTGACTGCTTTTTTTCTAGGCTTGATTGTGTTTATGGGAGCAGTGTAACGTCTTCATGTTTCGTTAAAAAAAAAAAAAAACGTATTTTTCATATATTTTACCTTTATTCTACGCCGCTGTCTCATTGTCATTTAAACGGCCGGTTGACTCCCTGTTTCTGTGATACCACTCCCTCTTAACTACACAATGGGCTTAGATCAGTTAGCTGGCCCAGTGTATTGTGATTCGTTAACCGCGTATCGCACATTGTCGCGAAACGTCACGCCCCTCACCATTACGGGCAATAGTTGCTTGAGCTCCGGCAGAACATAGCCTCATCCCCTTTGTTCCCGGGGGCGGGGTTTATGTTAATTGCAGGGTTTGTGATGTCACCAACCCGGGAAGTAGCTCATTGTAGTCCCTACCAGTCATAATTGTAGGCATTAAACAAACTTTTCTTTAAAAGACAATATCTCCATTTCCATTGAACTTCAGTGCCGTAACTTTACAGATATTTTTTATGCTCTAAACAGCAACATTACACACTAACTAAAGTTAAAAAAGTGAAATCGCAATCAACCACCCCTTTAATTCTTAAAATACTCCAATGAAATGTATAATTAAAAACTGCACAATTTTACAAATTTGTATTTCATTTGATTTAATTTCTAGGTCCTTAAAATTACAATTCAAATTCTGTGTGTAACCTCGCTCCTAATTCAGATTGAGTGTGTTTCTGAATGATTCTGGAGTGGAAGTGTGTTGAACAGTCAGCGGCGCTGCACTCGTCTGTGGTGACTTTAGTAAAGGGTTAGTTTGTGCCGGTTGCTCCGCAGGGATGGTGGGACCCAACATGCCTCCTCCTGGACCTTCTGGAGTCCCAGCTGGTGTTCAGGGCCAGAACCACAACGGGCCCCCGAAACCGTGGCCTGAAGGTGAGAGCGCATCCGTGAACTTCTTCTGGTAGCATGCTTCTTCTGGTAAAGCAGCCTGTGATGATGTGTGTCTGTGTGGCAGGTCCTCTGGTCAATGCGGCGACCCCCTCGAACGCTCCTCAGAAGCTGATGCCGCTGCAGCCCACCGGACGCCCCTCTCCTGCACCCCTGTCTGTGCCACCGGCCGCTTCTCCGGTCATGCCACCGCAGACCCAGTCTCCAGCACACCTGGGCCACTCGTCTCAGCCCGCCACCATGGTGCCGCTGCACCAGAAGCAGAACCGCATCACGCCGGTTCAGAAGCCCTGCGGTCTGGACCCGGTGGAGATCATGCAGGAGAGAGAGTACAGGTGAGTCCTAGCCCTGACCCTGACAGAACCGCAGGCGGAGAACAAACGATCGCTCTCAGAGAACACTGCCACCGCTGCTCGTTAAACCAGCCTTCTCTAAACCAAAGGAAACAACGCTTTTTCAGGCTTCTAGTGAACCTGCACTGAAGTGATTTACTCGGTTTCTCAGAACAGTATGTCTTGTATACGTTTTAAAAACTGTTAAATTAACAAATAAAACAATTAGTTGTTACCTCTATCCATTTACATTCACCAGGATCTTAATATTCACATTTAAACATCTTAACAAATGATCCAAAAATGATCAGAATACAAACAAACTGTATTTTGTATAGATATGTTTTATCCAGTGGTATGTGTTCCCTCAAGCCTAGCTCTGCTAGAAGTGATGACTGTCAATCCACAAAAGCAATATCTGCTGTATATTTAGTATTTATACATTATTAGAAAAACGAAACGTCCCAACCGAGACGATGTGTTACTGCAGTGTGTCTCCTCCTGCAGGATTCCCGTCTCCGCTGGGCTCTTCAGAGCTCGTGTCCAGTCCCGTGTCCGGTCCTCTCCTGTCCACCTCCGGCTCTAGCTCTGCCTCGCTGGACGGTGTGGACAGCCAGAGCCTCCCGCAGCAGAACCGTCTGGGAAGCCAAAGCACGGCCCCAGGCCCCAGCGGCTCCTCCGCTCCGACGCCCTTCAACCAGAGCCAGCTGCACCAGCTGCGGGCGCAGATCATGGCATATAAGATGCTGGCGCGCGGGCAGCCGCTCCCAGAACACCTGCAGATGGCGGTGCAGGGCAAGCGGCCCATGCCAGGGATGCCCCAGGGACCGTCTCTGACCAGCCTGCCCCCCGGCGGAGCGAGCGCCGGCTTCAGCCGAGGACATGGTGAGCACATCTGACTCTCCTAACACACACACACCTGAATCACTGATGATGGGACTCTTTATCTGATCACGAGGTACGTACTGTAATGCTTCACTGGTTACGGAGCGCAGGGTTGGGCAAAATTCTGAATTTAGTTATTTGATTTCATTTTAATTGAATTAAGTTGGTCCCCGTAGGAGGTTGAACTGAAATGACAGGAAGATGAACTGACTGAGAAATGCCATTAATCCAATGTAAATTCTGTGACATTGTTTAATAGTGACATCATTCATTGTCTATTAGTGGCTTTTCAAGTATTGATTATTAAAATCATTATTAAAGGAGTGGTTGACTGCTTTTTTTCTAGGCTTGATTGTGTTTATGGGAGCAGTGTAACGTCTTCATGTTTCGTTAAAAAAAAAAAAAAACGTATTTTTCATATATTTTACCTTTATTCTACGCCGCTGTCTCATTGTCATTTAAACGGCCGGTTGACTCCCTGTTTCTGTGATACCACTCCCTCTTAACTACACAATGGGCTTAGATCAGTTAGCTGGCCCAGTGTATTGTGATTCGTTAACCGCGTATCGCACATTGTCGCGAAACGTCACGCCCCTCACCATTACGGGCAATAGTTGCTTGAGCTCCGGCAGAACATAGCCTCATCCCCTTTGTTCCCGGGGGCGGGGTTTATGTTAATTGCAGGGTTTGTGATGTCACCAACCCGGGAAGTAGCTCATTGTAGTCCCTACCAGTCATAATTGTAGGCATTAAACAAACTTTTCTTTAAAAGACAATATCTCCATTTCCATTGAACTTCAGTGCCGTAACTTTACAGATATTTTTTATGCTCTAAACAGCAACATTACACACTAACTAAAGTTAAAAAAGTGAAATCGCAATCAACCACCCCTTTAATTCTTAAAATACTCCAATGAAATGTATAATTAAAAACTGCACAATTTTACAAATTTGTATTTCATTTGATTTAATTTCTAGGTCCTTAAAATTACAATTCAAATTCTGTGTGTAACCTCGCTCCTAATTCAGATTGAGTGTGTTTCTGAATGATTCTGGAGTGGAAGTGTGTTGAACAGTCAGCGGCGCTGCACTCGTCTGTGGTGACTTTAGTAAAGGGTTAGTTTGTGCCGGTTGCTCCGCAGGGATGGTGGGACCCAACATGCCTCCTCCTGGACCTTCGGGAGTCCCAGCTGGTGTTCAGGGCCAGAACCACAACGGGCCCCCGAAACCGTGGCCTGAAGGTGAGAGCGCATCCGTGAACTTCTTCTGGTAGCATGCTTCTTCTGGTAACTGTTATACACTAGGGGGCGCTATTACGCATCTCCTGAATGAGTCCAGAATCTCCCAGTTCGTGCGGACTGCTGCCGAGTGGTTCCTGGACTTCTGATGCTTTGTGTCTCTGCAGGCTGGAAGCTCGTATCACTCACCGTATTCAGGAGCTGGAGAATCTTCCAGGGTCTCTGCCTGGAGATCTGCGCACCAAAGCCACAATTGAGCTCAAAGCGCTCCGACTGCTCAACTTCCAGAGACAGGTGATGAACCCGGACTGACGCTGTGATCCACATCAATCTACTGACATATTCCACTGCATCAGTGCATCTGTTGAACATCCTCTGCTAAAGCGCTCTGATGTTCGTCTGTTTGCCTTCACAGCTGCGTCAGGAGGTGGTGGTTTGCATGAGACGCGACACGGCCTTAGAAACCTCACTGGACTCAAAGGGCTACAAGCGCTGTGGCAGGTCCTCTGGTCAATGCGGCGACCCCCTCGAACGCTCCTCAGAAGCTGATGCCGCTGCAGCCCACCGGACGCCCCTCTCCTGCACCCCTGTCTGTGCCACCGGCCGCTTCTCCGGTCATGCCACCGCAGACCCAGTCTCCAGCACACCTGGGCCACTCGTCTCAGCCCGCCACCATGGTGCCGCTGCACCAGAAGCAGAACCGCATCACGCCGGTTCAGAAGCCCTGCGGTCTGGACCCGGTGGAGATCATGCAGGAGAGAGAGTACAGGTGAGTCCTAGCCCTGACCCTGACAGAACCGCAGGCGGAGAACAAACGATCGCTCTCAGAGAACACTGCCACCGCTGCTCGTTAAACCAGCCTTCTCTAAACCAAAGGAAACAACGCTTTTTCAGGCTTCTAGTGAACCTGCACTGAAGTGATTTACTCGGTTATCTGTTCTTAACTCTTGCATCAGTGCATCTGTTGAACATCCTCTGCTAAAGCGCTCTGATGTTCGTCTGTTTGCCTTCACAGCTGCGTCAGGAGGTGGTGGTTTGCATGAGACGCGACACGGCCTTAGAAACCTCACTGGACTCAAAGGGCTACAAGCGCAACAAGAGACAGTCGTTACGTGAAGCACGAATCACAGAGAAACTAGAGAAACAGCAGAAGATCGAACAGGAACGCAAACGCAGGCAGAAACACCAGGCAAGCGGCTCTAGCACACTCACAGCAGCTCTCTGATTCCTCCAAACGCCTGAGAGCACACTGGATATCTGGGATTTAAAATCTAATTTAAACTTGCAAATAAACAGCTCATTTTATGATTTTGAAGGAAAAGTGATGATGTGAAACAAACACAATATTTATCAGATTTAGCCTTATTTTTAAGTGACTAATCAAATAATCAGTGATCATTGATCATGTGGTTCTTCCAGTGAAGCTGAAGATGCTCCGAGAACATGATGATCAGGTTTAGATGACGCTCCAGTGCTGATTCTCACGTCCATCTTCCTTCTGCACTCACTCATATTGTGATGCTGATCTTATAACTAGTGATGAAATATTTAGTATTAAATTACAGGAGAATGCAAAATAAGAAACATTTCCACAAGTGCTCTCAGACGTTTGTAGCTCACTTCAGTCACTGTGTTAATTCCCATGATTCATTGCTCTGCTGCAGGAATATCTCAACAGCATCCTGCAGCACGCCAAAGACTTCAAGGAGTACCATCGGTCCATCACAGCGAAGATCCAGAAACTGACCAAAGCTGTGGCCACATACCACGCCAACACCGAGCGCGAGCAGAAGAAAGAGAACGAGCGCATCGAGAAAGAGCGAATGAGACGCCTGATGGTGCGCCCACACACACACACACACACACACTCACACACACACACACTCACACATACGCACGCACACACACTCACACACACACTCACACTCACACACACACACACA